TTCTTTCTTTCTTTCTTTCTTTCTTTCTTTCTTTCTTTCTTTCTTTCCTTCCTTCTTTCCTTTCCTTTCCTTTCCTTTCCTTTCCTTTCCTTTCCGTCTGCCTTCCTTCCTTCCTTCCTTCCTTCCTTCCTTCCTTCCTTCCTTCCTTCCTTCCTTCCTTCCTTCCTTCCTTCCTTCCTTCCTTCCTTCCATTCCTTTCATTTCCCTCCCCTCCTCTTCCCCTTTCCCTCCCTACCTTCCTGTCTCCTTCCCTTCCCTTTCACTCCCCTCCCTTTTTTCTTCCATTTCTATTCTATTTATTTGTCACCTTTTCTTATTTTTCTATTTTTCTCTAAATATGTATTATTTTTACTTTGCAAAAAAAAACCCCATCCCTTCTTTATATAAAATTGTTTTTAAAAAAAAAAAAACAGAAAAGGTGATAGAGGTGCATATTTTCAAAACTACCTGACCTTTTTGCCCCACCTGCCTTCCCTTCCCTCCAGGTATGGATGAGTTAATGGAAGTGTCTTTTTCACCTCTGGCTGCCACAGGGAAGCCTCTCTCCCGATGCGGCAAATGTCATCGTTTCATGAAATACATCCAGGTAAAGAAAATCTGGAGTTTAAGCCAACGTAAGGAAAGAAATCTGTGATGGGATTTTTTTTTTAATGGTGGCATGCATTTTTTTAATGTATTTATGGGCAGCTTCCTTGTATTTATTGTTTAAATGTAGCACAGGTAATCCTCGATTTAGAAATGGTAAAATGATCTGTTTGTTAAGGAGGAAACTACAATATCTCTATATAAAAGCGAAATACCACTTACGCATCATCACAAAATCTGCAGAACCATAAAGCCTACAAACTTGAAATTTGGCACCTATGTTCCTCTTGGCTTCTAGGTGCTCGCTAAGAAAAGATTTTTTGAAATGACCATCAGAGCATTAGTATTTCCTATATTATTATTATTATTAACATGCTCTGATGCTAAAGAGTTCTACTCCCCCTCCCCACCTGAAAAGAAATCTCTTCCAAATGCAAAACACAAGCAGAGGAGAGGAGTTTCAGTTTCACAGCACCAAGAGGCTTTAGTAGAGAACAGTTGAGCTAAGCCACGCCCAGGCTCCTTGCTGTCTCCTTGCTCACTCAGCAAATACTCTTTCACTTTCCAAACAGCCCTTAACTCTCTCACCCTGACAGGACGCTAGCCAGATGAATATGGATGGATGCTGGTTGGCAGAGGCAGAATTTTTCCCCGCCTTATTTTCCTCCCCCAAAAACTAAGCCCGACCGCATAGTTTCGTAGCGAATCACGGGTATCCAGCTAGTTGTTTTTATAAAAGACTAAATATCCTTTATGGACTTTTTGTTTTTAACTAAAAATGGAGTCTAAATGAAACGGTCATTTCAGGATCAGATGGGAGCTGGCTTCTCCAGAAACTATTTTCTGCAAAGTTTTGAGCTTTATCGTGTGTTTCTTGTGTTTTAGGCCAAGCCAAGCCGTCTCCACTGCTCGCACTGCGACGAGACCTACAGCCTCCCCCAGAACGGGACGATCAAACTCTACAAAGAGTTGCGATGCCCCCTGGATGATTTTGAGCTGGTGCTGTGGTCTTCCGGTTCCAGGGGGAAGAGTTACCCGCTGTGCCCTTACTGTTACAATAACCCCCCTTTTAGGGATATGAAAAAAGGTGAGATTTCGCAGAAGGAGATATAAATGTGTGTATGTACGGTATTCAGCTTTGTTCGGGTATTTTCCCACGTCATTATAGTGGCTCCAGAGGTTGTGGAGGAGGCTGGGGAAGGGCAGAGGCCGGCTGAGCGGCCAGAGGAGGACCCAGGCCCATCCCCTCTCCATCCTAGGGCACGTAGGGAGGAGAGGATAAGGGAGAGACGTGGTCCCCTTGGGAGGAGAGGGCCTTGATCCCCTTCAATGGGCTGCAGCTGTGACAACTGAATAAGAGGATGGACATGCATACGGGCGAGCGCTGGAAACAAAGCATGGCAATATCGCCAGTTTATGGTTCCTCTCTGAGTTTGGCGTCCTTCCCATATCTAGATGGCTCTATTCATAAGTGTGTTATCTGTGGACGTCCTCCAGCCCTTATCTTGCCTCGTTTGTGTTTTTTTTTTTTTCCTTCTTCTTGTAACTGTTTGTGTGGGAGTTTTTTGTCTTCCGTCAAGAATATTCGGAGCTTGGAAGCAAAGTGAAGGAATAAAAGGGGCTTCATCTGTTTTCTGTGACTGTGTTTGTTTTGTATATCCCACCCTGGGTCATCGCAATATCTATGAAAACCGGTCCTAAGTGACTTCATTTAGCACCCTTGTAACTTTGAACAATTGCTCCGTGAACTGTTGTAAGTCGAGGACTTACCTGTGTTTTAAAACCCAGCTTCTCTTCTTGCTCCCACCCTCCCCCAATTTCAGGAATGGGTTGCAACGAATGTACCCACCCCAACTGCCAACATTCGCTGAACCTGCTTGGCATCGGCCAGTGCGTCGAGTGCGAAAGTGGCGTGCTGGTGCTGGACCCCATCTCTGGGCCCAAGTGGAAAATGGCTTGCAACAAATGCAACGTGGTGGTGCATTTCTTCGAAAACGCGCACAAGGTGCGGGTGTCGGCTGAGACCTGCGACGCCTGCAACGCCGCCCTGATGGACGTGGATTTCAACAAGGCCAAGTCGCCGCTGCCTGGCGGCGAGACCCAGCACACCGGCTGCGTCTTCTGCGACGTGGTCTTCCAGGACCTGGTGGAATTGAAGCACGCGGCCATGAAGCACCCCATGCACCGGGGCGGGCAGGGGAAACGGCAGGGGCGAGGGAGGGGAGGCAAGGGCTGGCGGCTCGGGGCCCGGCAGCCTCGTAAGAAGCCGAAAGACAAGATGGCGGCCCTCGCGGCTTTTTTTGTATGATTCGCTGTTGTGCAGAAAGTGTTTCGTAATAAAATCTCCCCCTCCCCCCGAAGAAAGCTGCTTTTGGTTGGTTCTCCTTGGTTTTATTGTGTGGGAAGCCTTCCTCCCCACCCCCGAAGAATGAAATATTTGGGGAAATATTTTTTAAAAAGGCAGTATATTATATTTCCCCAATGGAGAAACGTATTTTTAGAGGCAGAAAGCAGCTACCCCCCAGTTCTTTCTTCATAGCCCACAGCGGATGCCAGCCCTTCAGGAGATAAAAGAGCTTATAAAAAGAGGAAGACAAATATCTAGATGGCTCTATTCATAAGTAAAGTTTAATATAGGACATTTACTGGGAAAGCTGAAAAGAATCATTTTGGTCCAAAGGTTTAAGGCACCAAATTAAAATGTGGGCATCCTCATTTATTGACCAGCTCATTTAGTGACTGTTTGCAGTTATGACGATGATGAAGACATACCTAACGGAAGCCCATCCTTAGGTTTATGACCTTCGTGGGACTGTAAAGCAAAGGAAAGCTGAAACGAGATTGTAAGCGCTGTCGTGGTTCCTTTTAGTGACGGCTTTGCTTAGCAGATGAGTTGCCTATTGATAAACCAGAAATGATGTCAGATTGATGCAATCCACAACCCCCCCCCCACACACCCAAAATATGTTTCCATGGGGTGTAGTGTGTAGAGAATTATGCCTTTTTTATTATTATTAAAGGAGACCCGCCCCCCGGAAACTCACGGTATGCCCTCCAAAAGAAGAAGTTTTGCAACTGGGGATTAGAGAAATGTGCCTTGTTTTTTATTTTTTTGCATTAAAAGACACCCTCAAGAAATCCACTGGTCTCCCCACTCCCCCAAAATAGATTTGCATGGGGAGGGGGGTTTAGAGAATCGTGCCTTTTTTTTTTTTGCATGAAAGGACACCCCCTAGGAAATCTACAGGTATCCCCTCTAAAATATTTTTAAAAACACATTTGCAAGGGGCTAGCAGTAGAGAGACATACCATCTACTTTTATTTTTTTGTATTAAAGGACACCTCCAGGAAATCCTCCTGTCACCTTTCTAAGAGAAAAGATTTTTGCAGTGTGTGTGTGTGTGTGTTAGACCTGTCTATGTTGTATCTATATTATATTAATACCACCTATCATTTCTATATCTATTATATCTTTAAAATCTATTGCTATATCTATAATCTCTATAATCTCTATTTTATCTGTATCTATATATATATATATCATCTATCTTTAAAATCTATCACCTAATATCTATATTACATTATATCATCTATCTCTATCATAATCTCTATATAGCTATATTATATATTGTATCTATATCTATAATCTATATGTATATATTATATCTATCTTTAAAATCTATTGATATATCTTTATCTTGCTTTATCTATCTTTATCTGTCTATGCATCTATCTTGCTATTTGTCTATATCTGTCTACAGTATCTATATATCTATGTATCTATCTACAGTACCTACCTACCTATTTATATCTATAGTATCTACAGTACCTACCTACAGTATCTAATCTACCTACCTACCTACAGTATTTATCTACCCACCTACCCACAGTACCTACCTACCTACAGTATCTACCCACCTACCTGCAGTATTTACCTACCTACCTACCTATCTACAGTATCTACCTACATACCTATCTCTCTCTCCTTAAAGGAAACCCCCAAGAAATCCACGGCTCTCCTCCGCTCTCTCCCCCAAAAACAGGTTTGCATGGGAGGAGTAGAAAATCGTGGTTTTCCTTTTGTCTTTTCTTTCTTTCTTTTTTTTTGCATTAAAGGACACCCGCCTCCACAGGAAGCCCCCCCCCGTCCCACCCGCCTAAGGAAGGGGAAAAAAAAACCGCCCCAAAACTTTTGCTTGGGGTTGTGCGGGTTTTCCTCCCTTTGAACGACCCGCCCAGGAAGCCGGCTGGTTCTCGCCCCCCCCCCCCCCCCCCCCCCCCCCCCCCAAACGGGAAAAGTTTTCCTTTGGGGGGGGGGGGGGGGGGGGGGGGGGAAAAGGGGGGAGGGGCGGGGGGGCTTTTCCTGGCGGCTGGGGGCGGGGGGGGGGGGGGGGGGGGGTTGCCTTCCTCTTCCAACGGGGGGGTGGTGGTGGTGCGGCGGGAGGATTTGCAGGGCTCGCTCCTCTCTAAGCAGCCCCGGGAAAGGCGGCCGTTTTGCAGTTTGCACCCGTCGGCGGGCACCGCCTCCAGGCCGGCCTCTTCTCTTCTTCTTCTTCTTCTTCTTCTTTCTCGGCCATGGCGCGGCCGGAGCTCGCTTGGCTGGCCGGCTTCTTGCGCGATTGGCCCGGCCCTTTGGGCCCCGCCGAGCCGCCGCCCTGGACCGCTTCCACCGCTTTGCTCCGGCCGGACGAAACGGCGGCCGAATTGACCGAGCGGGCTCGCGGCTTCCTGGGCAGAAGGTGAGCCGGACACGCGTGGGGGGGGGGGGGAAACACCCTCCTCCCCACCCCCCCACCCGGCTGGCTGGTGGATTTCTTTGCAAGGGAAGCGCGTGGAAGGCCACGCGCGGGCGGGGCGGGGGGGGGGGGG